CTGCAATGTTGGTGGTTCAAGCTCACCAGCTGATACTCAGAAACCCTATGCAGGGTCACTATGGGTCGGAACCAACTTGATGGCAGTTAATAACAACTATATATATATATATATATATATATATATACACATATGTATATATATGAGTCGGAACCAACTCCACGGCACTTAACAACAACAACATATATAGTGAGAGAGAGCGAATGAGACAATGACTGTCCCAATGTATGTTACTTTACTTCCTTACTTTAGTAAGAAAATGATTGAAGTATTCAGCTACCACTGGAAAATTCTATCTTCAGTGCTTAAACATAAACTAGACCAGGATAGTACTTGGATTATGATGACTCATCTATCAACAGAGGTTCCAATTTCTCATTCCTTCAGTATTGAAACAAGCTCTAGTTAACCAGGCTCTAAACACGGTTCACTGGAGTTTGTTCAACACTGTAAGAATGATAAGCTTGATGCGACTGACCTGCATGAACTGTGTCTACTCCTAATCCTATGGTCATGCCTCCACTTTACTGAAGTTAAAACTTTATTAAACCAAGGGATGTTTTCGTTGAAAATGCAAGTATAAGGTTCATTTATTATGATGTTCTTGTACTACCTTCACATGACCTCCATGAATTTCTAACTAGTACAAGATAATTTCTCCACTAGTTTTCCAACCCATTTAAAAAACAGTATTCTGAATTTTGGTTTGGGGAAGAATATCAAGTCTGAACAAAAAAGTTACAAGTTTTAAATACATACACACAATAAAAAAGCCTAGTGTGAAATCTCTTCTGAAATATATATTTTTAAACTTTTACTAATCATTTCTAATTCCTGGTGGAGTCAATGATCAGCTAATGATTCTTTATCCTTCACAGTTACTTGTATTGGGGGGATATTTCTTGATAGTGTTGATCTTCCCTGCTAGACTGTAAGCTCTATGTGAGCAGGGCCATACCTGTTTTATTTGGCACTGAATGTTCAGTATTAACCACAATGTTTGAGTTACCCAGTTCCATGAATATTTGCTAACTGGCTGATCTAAAAACCAGTGAGAAAGGGGTCACATGACAGTGAATTGATGTTTAATCACGTTGGTAAAAAGAGTTGCAAAGTTTTAGTCACTTGTATGTGCTCAGCAATTTCTTTCTTATCTCCATAATGCAAGAGGCTTCAAATTACAAAGAGTCTAAATATGTTAAGAGTAGAGTCAACTTTATTCACAGTCAGAGTCCCCCTAGAGTTGTAACAATAATGTCATCCATGTAATAAGTATTCATTCTCTTCTTTTTGAGAGATCTTTCTATTCAGATGGCTTGCTGTCATCTCTAAGTCCAAAATAGAACTTACTTTCTTCCCAGTAATGCTCTTCTTTTCTCAGATCTTTTTGTGTGTTTTTTTTTCAATTTTGTAGGCTAAAATACTTGGGATATTATTTAGCTATTCTTGCTCACCAGTCTTTATATTTAAGTATGCCCTCACAATTTTATTATTTGAGAAGATGCACCTTCTTGTTCTAAAGCATTCTTTATATTCAAGTATTATTTTATTATTTGAGAAGCATGGTGATTTAGACCAGTCATTCTGCTCCCTAGTTGACCTCAACATCTGAGGATACCAGATGCTTGTCAGAATCATTTTACCCAAAACCCCCTTTCACAACCTTCTCTGATAGAAAAACTGAAAATAATTCCTTTTATGATCATGTTTGAATAAAATTAGCTAACATGTTTATAGCCTTTCATGTCGCAAAGTACCTTCCAAGAGCTTTGTATTTGTTTTTGTTTATGCTCACAATATCAAATGAGGACAAATTTTATGATTATTCTTCTCATTCTGGAGTCCTGGTGTGGTGCTGTAGGATAAACACTGGACTGCTAACCACAAGATCAGCAGTTCAAACCCACCAGCCACTTCTTGGAAACCTTATACAGGATGGCTATGTGTCAGAACTTATTCCACAGCATTTGACAACAGCAGCTATAACATTCCCATTCTAAAAATGAGAAAATTTTAACCTAGAAAGGTTTCTATCTTGTTCAAAATGTTAATACACACACATACATGTCATTGTTGTTGTTAAGTGCCGTCGAGTTGGTTCTGACCCATAGCTACCCTGTATAGGGTTTCCAAGGAGCAGCAAATGAGCTTGAACCATCAACCTTGTGGTTCAAACCGACTTTGCAGTTCAGTGCATTAACCCACAGTGCCACACCAGGACTCCATATATATGTATTATATATAAATAAGTTAAGATATATGCATATATATCTTAACTCTTTTTCTTGGCTTTCTTAGCCCTGCATTATCTGATTTTCTTTGGCCCCATTGCTTACTAATCCTCAGACATGCTTTCTTCCAGCCAGGATGGTTTTCTTTCTTTTTCACCAACACACATTTTTTACCTCTGGACTTTTGTGTGTTATTTCCCCTCCACTCAGGAAGCCTTTCCTCACCTCTCTACCTTCAAACATTACATATAGTCACAGTGCCAGGCAAATTACATTTTGTGTCTGTAACCATCCTTGGCAATTTTTGCCCATGTTTTCTCTCCATTTCAAATTTTTATTTTATTTTGTGCTCTACAGTTTAGCATTTAGTGATATGCAGTCTCATGGGACAAGGATGCCCCATCTACACATAGACTGGAAAACAGTGAGGCCCCACCATGAATAGCGTAGGGTTTATGGATCAACTTAGTAAGGATGAGTTCTGTCGTAGAGTCTGTACAAGCTATAGACAAGTATATAACATTACATCTGCCATCAACGTGCTTGAGAAAACGTCAATTGTAGAATAATTTAGGTTCAATAAATTCAAATAAAAGTATATTTCAACAGATTTGATGTAGACAGCAAACATTCCTACCTTCAGAAAAAGTGCAGGCGGTTTCTCTGCAACAAAATCTCTCAGGTAGAACATGGATATAAAAGTCAAAGATTTAAATGGTCTATAAAATAGAAGCTGTAACCACAAAAGAAAGGACCATGTGTCCGAAAGTGATCTTTCAAACACACACATAAACTTTGATAAACAAGATCTGTGATGGGGTTTAACTAAGACAAAACAATGCTATTCTATACCTAAAATGCAAAGGCATGAGAAAATATTTAAGATTCACATTTGTTCAGCTGAATGTGAATTACCCTGATAGCTCATCTAATGATTAAACCAATTTAAAGGGATTAAAACCAATTCTTAGAGGCAGGATATCTCAGAAGAAGAGATTTTCTTTTTTCGATAGGATAAACTGTTTAAATTTTTGGCAGTGTGCACAATCTGAGCACAAATAAAAATGAGTTGCAAGAATCCAATAAAAATAGTTTATTTCTTGCATTGATGTATGTATTTTTAATTACATGATTTGTGATTTCTAAGAGTTCAAAAAAACAGGTAAACTTAATATTAGTAGTATTTGGGGGAATCAAATTATTTGTTTTGTTTACTTCTAAACTTTAGAGTGATAATAAGATTAAAACAATCCTAGATGATAAAGAGGTGTATAGGTATGTGTAGGAGCTGCGTGTTTTTAATAATGCCTGGAGAGCAGGGAAAATACAAGATTCATATATGAAATGTAAATACATTCTATAATTATGAAGCAAAAATATTGCACATGTAGACAATGAATGCTTGTTGCTTGTAGAAGGAAAAACAAACTTTTTGATTGTCTAATTTATTTATGTGTTTGCTTCTTCGTACTCTCTATACGTAACCGATTTTCCTTTTCATACAGCACCCTACCCCAATTCTTCCTGACACTGCAAATTCCACCTATCCTGGAAATGTTGAGCCTGAGCCATTTCTGTACGTGCTAGGACGGAAGAGAATGATGGATGCACAGTCCAAGTGCTATGACCGGATGCAGCAGTTACCACCATACCAAGGAGAAGGTAAATGTATACTGGCTCACCAGCTGCTCTTCGGAAACCCTATACAGGGTCCCTGTGTGTTGGAACCAACTCGTGGCACTTAACAACAACAACAAATTCTTATTTAATTTAATTTGGCCTCAGGCATTCATACTACGATATATTTATTTTAGCAGCAGACATGCTAGTTTCTGTACTCAAATTCATCCAGCTGCTCTTTGACTAACATCTGCTCTCAGGATAAAATTACTACAGTAGCACAGTACCCCTGAAACGATTGCCCTGAGATAATTTTAAACTGTAAACTAAAAACATCCCTTAAATCTTCCTAAACCAAAACAGCAATCAAGCTCCGCTAGTGAGAAATGTCTGCCTTGAGCATCATGCACTTTTACGAACAATCTGTATGGGATCAAAGTGACAAAAGCAACTTGAAACATTAGACAGGAACCTTCAGGGCAGTGAGTTTGCGATAATCGGGGAGGAGCAGGGCAGTGAGTTTGCGATAATTGGGGAGGAGCAACGCAGAAAAGAATGGGTGCACAACTCGAGGAATGTAGTCAATGTTACTTATTGGCACATGTAGAAATGGTTGAATTAGTGTGTGTATTGCTGAGTATATTCTCAAAAAAGAGAAAAAGAACAGAACTTTCAGAGGTAACCTTTCAAAAGTTAATAGTAAGATCTATACATTCTAATTTAGTTTAAGACTTTTATACAATGATGTTATATTACATATCCTTCCATAAGAATTCCTTTGTAGAATTTTCAGAAATATTTTAAAGAAAACTTTTAAAGGAAAGACTCTATAGACATGATATACATTTCTTTTGAAGAACAAATGAGGAATGTCTTACCAACGTGCACATTCCTTTAGTTGTAGGTAAAGACAATACCTTTATTTTGTTCCTATTGTTGATATTGCTGCTTTGGTATTTCTATTTCTGAATGGAGATCCCCACAATGAGATATGTTGGACCAGACCATATATGCACCTGTTAAACCCTGCTAAGGATTCAAAAAATTTTGACAACTTTCAATTGTAAGCTAATTGCCTCACTTAAACGTGGACTAACAAATAATAGATTAGTTGTGAGAACCAGATTGCCGAAGCTGATGAAGTTTAAAACAAACAAACAAAAAACTATTATTGAGAATATTCCATCCTTATAATTTATTTTAATATTTGAAGAACTAGTCGATATCATGAATATTTTTTAAGTAATGCTTGCTTACAGAGTTAACTCTTCCAAGTCTTACTCTGATAGTTGGAAAAAAGAACATACCTTATAGGAACTGCCAGACAGATCAACTGACTCCAATTTCTTTGTTGGATATTTTAAATAAGGATAAAGTTTCAGGAAGAAAAACCAGTAAACAATTCAAAATCCAATTGCTTAGTAACCAATTTATACCTCAGAACCATGTCTCACTCACAATTAAATAAATGAAGAACAGAGAAAAATATATACTTCCTGGCCAATCTAGGGTTCAGCTACACATAAGATGGTCTTGAGATCAATCTCTTATTACAGTAAAATCCATATGGCTTCAATGTTAACTTCTTTCTAAATGACCAGGTCCATACTGCAACCGCACCTGGGATGGATGGATGTGCTGGGATGACACACCAGCCGGTGCAATCGTCTACCAATACTGCCCAGATTATTTTCCAGATTTTGATCCATCAGGTAGAATATTTCTTTCAATATTATATTTTTCTTTGAAGCTTTTATGGTTGTCATGGCGCTAAGAAAAGAAACAAGTATGAAATATACATACCTAATCATATTCTGGTTAGTGGTGGTTATGTGCCGAGGAGTCGGTTCTGACTCATAGTGACAGGGTTTCTGAGGCTGTAAATCTTTACCGTAGCAGAAAGCCTCCTCTTTCTCCTGTGGAACAGCTGGTAGTTTCAAACTGCTGACCTTGCGGTTCACAGCCTGATTCGTAACCACTAAGACTGCAGAGACGTTTGAACTGCAAGATTGGCAGTTCAAGCTCACCAGCTGCTCCCTGGAAACCCTTTCAGGGTCGCTATGGGTCGGAATCTACTCAACAGCACTTTACAACAACAACAATCATATTCTACATCATTTAGTCCATTCTGAAGGGTTCTTTAGTTGAAAAATTACTCAGTAGTACAAATATTGTAGGTCGTTCATCCTTTTAAAGTCACATTTCTGGACAATTGTGCATATTGGTCTTAAAAATCTAGCTTATAAATTTAACTTTTCTAATACTTTGTGAACAGTTTCATTTATTTTATTTTTTTTAATTTTTAATTGTATTATCTCAAATTTGGTGACTTGTGCTGATACTGGAGCTAGAGTTTGCACATGCTGAAGCAGCATAGCATACAAAATGGAAGATTTCATAATCTTGAAAAGTATATGAAACTACAATCAAGGTTTAAGAAACAATCAGTCAGAAGGCATTAATTCTAGGAACTTTCCAGACTGCTCTTCCAATAGCAGGGTTTGAAAATATACTCAGGAAATAAGACTATTATAATGGCTTACACAAAACCCAACACTGTCTCACACAGCATGAACAATAATAAGTGTGCACTGAAGAAATGAATGATACCAAATACACTTTAGTTATAAAAGTAATACGGGGATGCTTTCTTTAGAATATCATGTTTTGCTTTTCAAAACATTTTCCAACATATAATTTCATTTTATAGTCATATAGTATTTGACCAAAAAACAAACACAAGTCTCTGAGGCCCTGCCTAGCACCTCTCTTGTCCCTTTCCTACAGAAGCTTTTAATGGGAACAAAACTTTGAACCTCAGTGAACAACCACAGGTTTGTTGAGATGCTGGTTGGAGGTATGATAAAGTGCCAGGCTTCCTTCTCTTTGCTAAGCATTGACCCCAAAAAGAAGGACAGCTTTGGACAAAATTATTTTATTCCTTTGGACAAAATTCTTTTATGCCAAGTTTAACTCCCAGAAGTCGTTCCCATGATCTTATATTCTCATTTGTGTATGTACCTCCACGCTAAGGGCTTGGTGACTGAATTTTCTTCTGACTCCAGTCTCCAATACTGCAACAGTTGCCACATGACTATAAGACTTACGGAAGTGCTTAATAACCTTATATAATCAAACAGGCCTAAATTTGATCCCTGGTCCTTCAACTCACTAGCTGTGGACAGGGTTTTTACTGAACTTCTCTGAGCCTCAGTGTTCTCATCTATACAATAAAAAGGCCAAAACCTAGTTCAAAGAGTCATTATTAATTTTAAGGAGATAAGTCTGCAAAATAGCTTAGCATAGTGCCTGGCCCACTGCAGAAATGGGAGTCTTTAATATGCCAGTCCAACTGAGTCAGCAAATTACACTGCCTGCCTCCAAATGGATGGACACCTAAGAAACGTATGAGGAAGTAGATGGTGAAGACTGTACTATCAACCTCAGATATAAATTCTGTGGGGTGGAGAGAATTGATCCAAATGAATTTTTTTAAGAAGTAGAAGAAAATGACGTCAGTATTCATCCCTTAATTTTGGACTTGTTCGTTCTACTGGATTTGACTAGGTGAAATTGCCATTTTGTCCAACAAAAACTAGGGTTTCATACAGTCAATTTAATTTTTTAAAATACTGTGAATGAATAGTCTTGCTCTCCTGACATAGTTCTCATCTATAACCAGAAGTGATAGTATTTGCTTAAAAATGCTATGAGATAGCATGTAGGAAAGTACTTTGGAGGCTGACACACTCCTGGCTGACCCGCTATCTAGTGACTTTTCAAACTCTGTTATCTTTCTCACTTCCTGTGCTCTTGTTTGTAAAATGGAGATGGCAATGCCTGCTTCACGGTGCTCTGCTGAAGAGACAGTAAGACAATGCATGTTATAACACCTTCTATAATGCATGATTCATGGTAACCTCTACTGACTTGTATTCATATTTAAGTTCTTCAAGTGATTTACTCTTTGGATTGGCTTTTAAGCTTTCATTTATTATTTTTCATTCTTAGAATTTTGAAATATTAATGCAATAACCCATGCTTCATTAACAGAAAGGGTTACAAAATACTGTGATGAAAACGGGGTTTGGTTTAAGCATCCTGAGAATAATCGAACCTGGTCCAACTACACTCTGTGCAATGCTTTTACTCCTGAGAAGCTGAAGGTAGGTTCCATTTTAAATTGGAGTATTGGTTGAAAATACATTATTTGTATACAAAATCAGATGTAGAACTGTAAACTGTATGCTTCCATAAAATCAGTAGATGTTATGGAAGGAAATTAGATGATAGTCTCTAAATTCTACGGTCTCTTTGAAGTGGCTTAAAGAAAATGACAAGTTTTGCTTCTTAGTCAGCTGGTATCACAGGGAGTTCCATTCAAATATAGAATCAGGCCATTATGGCAAAATGGACAGTGTCCAGTAGAGAACATGAGAACATTCCCTATGATGTAGGATATTATGCAGCATTTCCATGGGCCTTCTAATAAGAGGGAATTTCTAAAATGTCATGGAAAAAATGAAATTAAAGGATAAGGAAATTTGCTATAAAAATTTTGAAGCCCTATTTCCCTCCTCCTAAAAGAGTTCCAAAACTCTAAACTTTCCACAAGCCACAAAAAACTGCTTCTCTGAACTGGTCTTGACCTTTCACTATCATGCCTTGAAGGAATTGCCTAAAATGAGACAGTTACTGAGCCCATTCATAAAAATGTGGCTGTTCCGATTATTTGCAATGGGAGTTCAATATCACTGGTTTTATGATATTGGTGTCATACTGGCTCTTAAGTATTTTGAATATCATCTGTCTAGAAATATTGATTTAAGCCAGTAGGGGAATAATGGAAGATATTCTCTCATTTTTTCAAATATCTTTCCCTTCTCCCCATAGATCAGGAGAAATAATTGGTCACTGTTTAGTCAAACAAGGTATCTGTAAGCAACCCTACTAGATGAAACAGAAACGTTTTGTCTGCTTCAGAGTAAACCTGTATACCATATCATTGGAATCCTGGTGTAGCCCTTTAGGATAAGCATTGGGCTGCTAACCGCAAGGTTGGTGGTTCAAACCCACCAGCCACTTCTAAGAAACCGTATATAGGGTCACTATAAGTCAGAACCAACTCAATGGCATTTAACAGCAACAATCGTATAATTACTAAGTTGAAAGTTAGAAGCACTAGCTTTTGTAGTATAAAAAATTTCCTTTTGTTGAAAACAAAGCAAACAAGCAACATCAAAAGAAAGAAAAAAAAAAAAAAAACAAGATGACTAAACAGCTTACAGACCAGTTGACTAGAGGAATACTTCGTCACAGGTACAGACTGAGGGCACCAAAGCCATGCACCTCTTCACAAATGGCATAGTCACTCCTGAGAATCTGATGCATGCCTACATCCCACTGGGGAGTTATTTCCTTAACCAGGTATGAATGAATAACATGTCTCTGCAGATTTTTTAAAAGAGTAACCCCGTTAACCAAACGTCTAAAACCAGTACAGGTGCAAATAAATAATTGTCAAAGCTGCCATGTTTGACCTTGAGTGTTCCCCTCTCTTACACACTGCTATCCAGTTGATTCTGACTCATTTCAGCCCTATAGAACAGAGTAGAACTGCTCAGTAGGATTTCTGAGACTGTAAATCTTTACAGAAGCAAACAGATGCATTTATCCTGCACAGTAGTTGCTGGGTTCAAACCACTAACCTTGTAGTTAGCATTCCACTATGCCACCAGGGGTCCTTAATGATGAAAACGCTTTCCACAAATCTTCCAACTAAATTCAGGCACAAAGAAGTGAAAAAAAAAATTTTTTTTTTTCAAAATGCTTATAAATATCAAAACCAAGGCTCTCAATCTTGGAAATAAATTGATTTAGCTTTACACATTGTTAAAACCAAACCTATTGTATAGAGTTGATTCTGATTCATGGTGATCCCATATGTTACAGAATTGTTTGTCGTTAAGTGCTGTCATGTCGGCTCCGAGGAGCAGCTGGTGAGCGTGAACCACCGACCTTGCAGTTCAAACTGACTTTACAGTCCAGCGCATTAACCCACAGTGCCACACCAGGACTCCGTGTTACAGAACAGAATTGCTGTTTGTTGCTATTGAGGTGATTTTGACTCATGGCAACCCTGTGTGTGCAGAGGAGAACTGCTTCAGAGGATTTTCAATTTGTGACTTTTCAGAAGCAGATTGTCAGTACTGTCTTCCAAGAAAACTCTGGGTGGATTCAAATGGCCAGTCTCCCAGCTGGTAATCAGACACTTAACCATTTGCACCACCCAGGGACTCCCCTCTATTTCAGAAGAATTTCTTTTGTCTGTGTAAATAAATAACAGTTTAGGAGGCACCTGAAAGAACATGTTGCATCTGGGTCTTCTTTCATACTTCTCAATACTGCTTTGTAGGTTTCTTTTTAGAGGCGTTGGACTTCCTTCTTGAGCTTTGTTCTCAGACATCTCATCTTCTATGCAATTGTCAATACCACTTCTTAAATTTTATTTTATATTTGTTTGTTGGTGGTATACAAAAGTAAAATCACTTTTGTTTATTTGTATATCCAGCAAGTTTGTTCAATTTAATTGTTAATCTTAATAATTTGTTTTATTTTGTATTTTACATACAATATTTTTACAAAAATACAGTCAGCTGTATTTTTCTCATCACTTTGTTTTCTTTTTCTTGTCTTTATTACATTGGCAAGAACTTCCAGTACTATGTTGAGTAGAATTGGTTAACAGTGGGCATATCTTCTCGTCTTGTTCTTAATCTGAGAGGGAACATTTTCAACATTTCACATTTTAGTAAGATGTTGCTATAGATTGCTTTTAGAAATCCTTTATCAATTTAAAAAAATCATCTTGTGTTGCTTATATGCCAAGACTTCTTTTACACAAATTAGTATTGAACATTATTCAATGCTTGCCCTGACTCTATTAAGGTCATATTACTTTTTATTTCCTTTATTCTGTCAATATTTAAAATTACATTATTTTCGTTTTTCTGATGTTAAATTAACTTGACATTTCTAGAATAAACCTAACTTATACATGCACACAGATGAGTTTTGCTCACATTGTGCTTAAAATTTTTGCATTGCCACCGAGCTGAGTCTGTAATTTTCCTTTTGATAATATCCTTTAATATTATATCAAAAGCTTTCCAGACTTCTTGAAACAAATTAGGAACTATTCCGTATTTTTACACTCTCTTAAAGAATATTTATAAAAATCAGTGCTATATTTCATCAGTGAAGACACCTAGGAATGGATTTTGTTCTTGTTGCTAGAGTTGGGTTGTTTTCAGTATGGATGTTTTTAATTACACGTGCAAGTTCTTTATTAGACTTAAGGTTGTTCAATTTCTTATTGTGTCATTTTTGGGAAGTTGTTTTTCTAGTAATTTGTCCATTTAATCTAAGTACTCAAGTTGTCAGAATAATATACTTTGTAGTGTATTCTTATTCATATAGATAGAAAGATAGATAATAGATAGATAGATAGATAGATAGATAGATAGATAGATAGATAGATAGATAGATAGATAGTCCTGGTGTGGCTCTGTGGGCTAATGCATCAGATTTCAAAGCCATTTGAACTGCAAGGTCGGTGGTTCAAGTTCATCAGCTGCTTCTTGGAAACCCTATACAGGGTTGTTATGGGTCAGAATCAACTCAACGGCACTTAACAACAACAAAAACAACTCAAATTGTCAGAATAATATACTTTATAGTGTATTCTTATTCATATTTTTTGTTTGTGGGAATAGCCCAATTTCCAATTTCTCATATAAATTACTGGTGTCATTTTTATCTTTTCCTAAAACAGCTTTACTGAGATATAATTTACATAGCATAAAGTCACCCATTTAAAGTCTATAATTGTCTCCAGTGTGTTTACAGATTTATGTAACCATCACCATGACTCAGTTTCAGAACATTTCTATCATCGTTCCCTAAAATATCCTTGCACGTATTAGATTTTTTGCCCCACCTCACTCCCCTAACATGTCACACCTAGCACCTTCAATTCATTAAAGATACATCTCTTCTGTACATGTCATATATATTAGATTATACAATACGTGGTCTTTTGTGGCTGACTTCTTCCACTTAGCATAATGGTTTCAAGTTTCATTTAAACCTACTTGTGAAATAATTTTTGAAGGAAATTTAATTCATCTCAAATAACTTTAATCTTTGAAAATAGATCAATTTATTTCCTCTAAAAAATCAATAAAGATAAAAATAATTCCGTTTTCTGGGTTATTCTTTTATTGCTGTTTGTCTCCCAAGGGAGGAAACCATTTGTTGTTTTACATTGATGTTTGCAAATACTATTTTCCCTATGATATAATTGTGTATTCATCTCATTGTTTTTGTAACTGTTTTTTATTCCAGAATGCATATGTTCTGTATTATCTGGCTATTGTGGGTCACTCTTTGTCGATTTTCACCTTGGTGATTTCTCTGGGGATTTTCTTATTCTTTAAGTAAGTATACTTTTGATTTTATTCTTTAAGGTATTAAAACAAATGGTAAAATCTGCAAGGTTTTTTATTAGTGGCCTTCAGCAAATCACGAATGACACGCAACACTGGAAACCATGCACTAGCAAGAAACTAAATGAGTTAAGATATGCTTTTTCACCCTTTGAAGAGAACAGAATGGATTCATGTAATTTGCAAAGAGATATGCCTCCTTCCCAAAATGAGATAGCCTTGTAAACCCATAGGTACAGTTTGTCTATGTGACTAAGATTCCATTATGTACTGAGGAGAACATTCTCTTCCTTCCCTTGTTGTTGTTGTTGTTGTTAAGTCCGGTCAAGTCAGTTCCGACTCATAGCGACCCTGTATAGAGTTTCCAAGGAGCGGCTGGTGAGCTTGAACCGCTGACCTTTCAGTTCAAACCAACCTTGCAGTCCAGTGCATTAAACCTCAGCACCACACCAGGACTCCCTTACCTCTACCCTAATTTATGAAAATCATGACAAATTCAGATAAACTTGAGCAAATTATGAGATGTATCACAAGTGGATTTGACCAAAAAGGAAGTGGGGTTGGTGAAACCCTAATGATGATTTGCCTCCTAAATCCTGACTGAATGACTCTTCTGGTCTTGACTCACTCAACCAATGTCTAGAAAAAGATGCCCCATCGTCAAGTGTAAATTCTTTTTCCCTGAAAACATAGTCATTTTAGCCACAAGTCCTGATGTGGCACTGTAGGATAAGCACTGGACCGCAAGATTGGTTTGAACTGCAGGGCCAACAGTTCAAATCTACCAACTGCTCCTCGGAAACCCTATACAGACTTGCTGAGTCATAACCAATTCGACAGCACTTACCAACAATCTTCTAAAATACTATGAGAAATAAAATTCAGGTGACAGCTTCTATTGGGAGGCTGTGTCCATACACTTTATTCCATTATCTGCATAATATGATTAAAATGACTGACAATGGGGCATCTTTTTCTAGACATTGGTTGAGTGAGTCAAGGCCAAAAGAGTCATTCAGTCAGGATTCAGGAGGCAAATCACCATATGGCTTCACCAACTCCACTTCTCTTTTGGCCAAATCCACTTGTGATACTAGTTTCACAATAAAGGAGAATTTAAAATGTTGGTTCTTCTTTTCAGAATGACCTTATAATCTATGTGGGACGATAACATATGACTTGTAATAAGACGTGTTCTAAATGTGTAAATTTTTTCAATCAAATACATGAGGCATACATTATCCTTTCATGAGAATCCTAATTCCATATTAACATGGGAGCTGCTTCCACTTACGCTTTTTTACTGCCCTCCCCCTGTCATTTGTATTTTGTTATTTGGTTATGAAGAGTAGGACTGGCTAGGTAAAAATCTTGGTCCTCTGTTCTCTTTTGTGTGGATGGAGTGAACACTAAATGTAAATGCCTTATTCAGTGTGGAAATTCCCTCTAAAGCACACTGGCAAAGTACTGCTTGTTTTGTTCATGCTGAAGCTGTTTATTAGAGCTTTCTATAGTCATTACACTAAACTAGGGAATAATCAACAAGCTGTAGAACCAGTAAAATAACTTATGGAAATTTTTTGGCAATTGCCTTCTGCTGGGACTCCTCAGCTAAAACTCTACGGGGTAAAATTAGAAGACTCCATAGCATATGTAAGAAAGGATAAACATATCCAAACATAACACTATGCAAAATGCAATTCAAATGATACTTCTCTTTAGGCTTTCTGTATGCACAGTTGTGTTAGAAGGTAAATTATGAGTAAATGCCCAGAAACAACTTGGATATTTTAAATAATCTTGTCATACTTAAATAATTGTGAAATTGATTTTCAGATAACTGCAAATTTAAATTTGAAAACTTGTATTTTTTTAATTGTAGCAACCTTAGTGAAAATAAAGTACTAATAACATAGTCCTTTCTAAGGAGCTCTGGTAGTGTAGTGGTTACGAATCAGGCTGCTAACCTCAAGGTCAGCAGTTCAAAACTACCAGCTGTTCTGTGGGAGAAAGATGAGGTTTTCTGCTCCCGCAAAGATTTACAGCCTCAGAAACCCTGCACAGGGTCACTATGAGTCGGAACCGACTCCATGGCACATAATAACATACTGCTTTTCTAAAGTATGTTCACAAATGGAGATTCAAATGTAGCCACAGGTATACTCTTTATAGATGTTTGTAGGTGTACTGTGATTAAGTACGAGTCGTGGTGTTGTGCTGCAGGATAAGCACTGGACTGCTAACCACAAGTTCAGCTTTCAAACTCACCAGCTGCTCCTAGAAAACCTTACAAGAGTCTCTATAGGTCGGAACCAACTCAACAGCACTTAAAAACAACAAGAAGATGGTTCAATAAAAGTGCTAGAAACTAAAGTAAAATGAGATAGAAATGAAACGTTAGGTGTATAAAGTGCCTGGATTGACACTTGGCACATAAATGAGATATGACTGCTTGGTATTATTACTCTCATCCTCATCATTTTATTGATAATAATAAGTGGTAGAAAAGGTATTATACAGATGATGAAGCAAAGCTCCTTCATAGACCCACACTACAAATAATCCTCTACTCTTAAAACATATGAGAGACAAGAATTTATATGTTGTTGTTAAATGCTGCCAGGTCGGTACCGACCCATAGAAACACTGTGTAGGGTTTCCGATGAGCAGCTAGTGGGTTTGAACTGCCAACCCTGCAGTTCGCAGTTCAGTGCTGACCCTAAAACGCCACACCAGCAGTCCAAGCAAACATATAATTTCAATATGATTTTTTGTTAAACCATTACCATGGTAATAATACAGAGAGGATCAATCCGAGGGGGAGAATCACTTGTAACCACACCCACATCATAGTTATTATCAGGATTATTTCTTAGGTCTTCTTTTAATTTTTGTCCATAACTTAGTTCAAGATTCTAATATTGGTGTAAAGATTCTAATATTGGTTAAGCAATATAACTGAATAGCAACTTGTTGTTAGTGGAGGAAACAATCGCGTAAATAAATAGACAACGATATCTTTCCAGCTAAATAGGTTTTCCAGGAAAAAGACTGATAAACAAAGCAACAAGACATAAGGGATTAATTACTAAAATCAGAGTAAGAATATTTTCAATTATAGTGATCGAATACAGCAGAGTAAGCAGATATCATAATTTACATTGGCATGTCTGTTCATTTTCCAACTGTGCGTCACTATGGGAAGATGAGCCCAGCTAGCAGCTCTGTAGAGCAAGCACAACAAGAAAAAATGTAATATCAAAAACACAAATGCTAAGATGTTAAATATCCTGACTCAAAAGAAGTCATGTCTGATATTGATACTTATTCTCAATCATACCTTAAATTAATCCAAACTTAAAGTACCAAAGACATTTATTGCCTTACATTAACATACATTCCTGACTTTAATTAAAGTACATTCCTATACTTTTTTTCTTTTTCTTACATTTCAATTTTGGAAATACTCAAAGTGATTATAAAAAAAACAGAAGTTCTGATCACTCACTGAATTTTTTTTCTTTTAATTAGCAATGTTTCCCCAGAATATTTTCCCAAGCATCATCCTTAAAATCTTTACTGGACATCACAATGAAAGGTATTTTGCTTTAGGGATTTAAGTGGCATCATCTGTCTGAACCCTGAGCAAAAGGAAATCAGAACCCTCTTGCTTAATTCTACATTCCCAGTAGTCTGGGAATTATTTTGAAGAATTTGAACGATTTTATAAACTTGCATGAAACCAAAATGAGAAGTTACACCCAGCTCCATTGCTGAGAATCCATACCCCATTCATAATCATATGATTGAAATCTCTGTAAAACTCTCAGAACTCCTAAAATATGTCTGACTAGTCCAGCCCTGGTGGCATTGTGGGAGAAGAATTATACTGCTAGCCAAAAGGTCAGTGGTTCAAATCCATCAGCCGCTTTACGGTAGACTGTTCCAGTAAAATATCAGTCTCACAAACCCTACACAGAGTCACTATGAGTCAGAATCAACCAACTCAATGGCTGTGGGTCGGATTTGGTTTTAATTCTGCAGAAGCCTTACTCAAACCAGTAAGCTAAGAATAGTTTCAATTATAAGGATCAACTACTATAGAACAACTCAAAGTTACCGGATATACAAAAGATGACAGAAGTGATAATACTTTGTTTAAAATCCTGGGCTATTGCTTAGAATAAGATCATGAAAGCATATCTCTAGTCTTAATGTGATTTTATTCTTACATGTAAGAGGCCGTAGGAAGCAGGGCTACATAATCCCGAAAGAAGAATATCATTCTCCTTGTGCTGTTGGACAATAAATATAAATGCATATAAAGTTTTTGTTATTTTAAAAGACCATTGAGCTCCTATGCCTTCTTCAACCTAGAGGGGGTGGGAGTAGGGGAATAAGTTATTAAAATCTTAGAGTTGTACCAAAATTTGCAGAGTTAAATATCATGTAGGATGATGTTGTCCGTTGTAAATTTTCATTGATCTAATCTAGACTAAGGAGCTCTGGTAGCGTAGTGGTTAGGAATCCGGCTGCTAACCTCAGGGTCGGCAGTTCGAAACTACCAGTGGTTCTGCGTTTCTGCGGTTCTGCGGGAGAAAGATGAGGCGTTCTGCTCTGATAAAGATTTACAGCCTCGGAAACCCTGTGCAGGGTCACTATGAGTAGGAACCGACCCCATGGTACTTAACAACAATCTAGACTGACTCCTTGGAAACCCTATACAGAGTCGCTATGGGTAGAATCGACTTGACGGCACTTAACAACAACAACAATCTAAAGTGAATACTGCATAATGAAGTCACAAGATATGTGTCTCACAGCAAGAATTATGAAGTGTTATTATGATTAAGGAGTCCTGGTGTGACACTGTGGGTTAATGCGCCAGACTGCAAAGCCGTTTGAACTGCAAGATTGGCAGTTCAAGCTCACCAGCTGCTCCTTGGAAACCCTATACAGGGTCGCTATGGGTCGTAATCCACTCGACGGCACTTAACAACAACATTATGATTAAGGAAAGTGGCAGGTCACAAGTTCAACAATGTTAACTGCACCAGGTTGTAATATCAGTGAGGTCATATCAGATCTTTTATATGATATTTTATAGAAATGATTTTTTCTCTCTTTAAATACTTAAAGTTGAAACCCACCTTTGTTGTTGTTGTTGTTGTTAAGTGTCGTGGAGTCGGTTCCGACTCAGCGACCCTGCACAGGGTTTCCAAGGCTGTAAATCTTTAAGGGAGCAGAAAGTCTCATCTTTCTCCCGCGGAACCGCTGGTAGTTTCGAACTGCTGACCTTGAGGTTCACAGCCCGATTCGTAACCACTACGCTACCCACCTTTAGCACCACCATAAAACCTATGAAAGCCAGACCCTGCATAAGGCAGAAACCTGTCAGAAAAGGAAAACTCATATTTTCCTTTTCCACTAATAGAGAACAATAGAAACGAGGTAAAATTGCACCCTGTAAACTTTCAAGACTCAGAAAAACAAGGCAATCCATCGAGTTCCGGCTCTCATCGATCTCACTGTATAATAAACAAACTTATTGCTTTCAAGAGTTGTTCTGACTCAGTGATTCTGTAGGAGAGCGTATATCTGACTATAGGTTTTCCAAAGCTGAAATCTTTACAGACGCAGACTGCCACATCTTTCTCTCTTGGAGTGGCTGGTGGGTTTAAACCCACTAACCTGCCTTTTAATTAACAGCATAGTGCTTAACCACAGCACACCAAGGGTTAGTAGATTTACACATTTCTTTACTGCTAAGTAAAGTAGCAAATGTTAGTGTGTGTATGTGAGTGCATGAGTATGTGTGTCTGTGAGTGAAAACTCTTCTCTAAATCTCATATTCATCAACTGTCGCCTCCAAGAGATAAAGTTCTGCATTCTACCCCTGCTCAGCAAGTTGAGAGTTTAAAAATATTACTTATGAACCATGCTTATGCTTTATGAAAATGGTTTTAATATAACTGGAATAATCAATAAATATTCTAACAGATTCCTTCACGCCTTAAATTTAAAGTTACCTTTTTCTTTTTCTACAGATAACTGGAAAGTTTTTTTTCTTTGGTTTTGAAACATAGGAAAATATGATAAACACAAATGATTTCCATATTTCAAATTTTCCCCAAAATTCCTAGGATGTTGATGTTATTTTGAGAGCTTTGGGGGGAGGGAGTTGTTTCGTTGTTGCTTTTTTTAGGAATAGTCATTATAATGAGTTATTGTCATCATTAACTGTATGTTTTAAGCTATCACATAGTGAATTGCATTATGCTCAAAATTTTGTAACTTAATCCAGTATGGTAAATAGAAGATTCTTATTCCTGTAGAATAAGCATTCTAATTCTACTATAGCTATGTTGCAGGATATTTCCAGTTATATCAAAAATATAGATAGGATATTCAAAATAATGTTCATTTGTATGAGAATTCACACATATACATATGCACAGTTTATAAAGTGAAGGAAGAAGGAATGAAAATTTCCAACCAATTTCTTAGTGCCTAAAAAATTGGAAATGGCAATGTGAAGAATTAACAAGACTCAAATAGGTTTTGTAGGATTCAAACCACAATAATACCTCCCTAGGAGATCAAATCTCAGCCTACTTAGAATTCTCTGCTTGTGTCTGAGCTCCACCATCAGGAGACTGTGGAGAATGGACCCACAAACTGATGCTGTTAGAATATGAGCTCTAACAAGAGGTCAGAGAGATGGTAATGAGGACAGCACAGGGGACTTTATCTTGTGTTGGGTCACTGGTATGGATTGAATACTTTGTCATGGGATGTCTTCATGCTCTGGTACCCCATCTTGTCAGCAATTTCTGCATTACATCAATCAACTGCAGATTTTTCATTTGAAATATATTCCAAAACCTTCTCTTGTCTGAATCTTTCTGTTAATTCATTTCCTGATATTATGATATAAAGTAACTTTACCACTCACTCTTTTAGTTGCTGTAAGTAGTAACCCTGAGAACTAAGAACTTTGAGCCACCATGAATGGAGACTGCTTCAAAAACTAGTTTTAAAAAATCAAGCATAAACATAGTGATGGGTTTAAGAGATGGCAACAGCTTCACGTATTTCCATATGTTCTCTCATCTGTGCTAAAGGAAATACTTAAAATACTACCCATGTGAGCTTTTTTCTGGTTCTACCACATTTGTCACTGATTTATGTTTTGCCATGTTACCCTCCCCCAGGAACCTCAGCTGTCAGAGGGTTACCCTGCACAAGAACATGTTTCTTACCTACATTCTGAATTCCATGATTATCATCATCCACCTCGTTGAAGTAGTACCCAACGGAGAACTGGTGAGAAGGGATCCGGTAAGGAATGCAGGATTTTGTTTTTACTTTTATGATAAGGGTTGAAGTACTGATAAATCGTGAACATGGTGTTAGTGTTTAGCCTACGCAATTGTTAACCTGTGTAATCCTATTTACTTTTACAGTTCAGTTTTGTATTAAGCAAAGTATGCAATTTCTACGTAGTCCTTGAAAGTAACTGCTACATGCTAAATAGTTAGGAATCATTGAATCCTTACTTATTAACATCGATGGTAAGTGTACTTAGCACATACTCTGAGCATAGACAATACAAGGTACACTGAGGAAGTTTTACCCAGTATCTTCCATGGGTTATAGATATGACAAACTGGGCTTGGACCGGTCACCTCAGCTATCAACAGGTACGTATTTATTCTAGCAAGACATGCAAATGTTACTATATTCAATGTCTGCCTGACTTGAAAAGGTTTATACTGACATAGACAATACAAATATAAGTATATTTCTATTTTTAAAAATCCATAATTATTTCCTTATCACCACCTTTTCAGACCGTCCTTACTTGATTTTAATAATGAAGCTGTCACTTTGGGTGTCTGTTAATGACCTGGCATAAAACAATTGCCATGCTTTAATCAGACAGTTCAATACAAGGGGGTTTAAGAAAATTTGTGGAAAGTTCCATCATCTTTTAATTCCATTTCTTCACAAACTTTCTGAAACCCTTTTATACTGTCACTGTTTTTTTTAGGTTGGATATGAAATGGCCAATAATCAATCAATAAAATTGTCAAATTCATGTGCTTTATCCTAATAAAATTTTCATTGTGTTATACATAAGGTTACTATGTTTTAGCGTCAACTCTGTGGCACCTAACAATAAAAACAATAAACTGTGAGGATAGTGATAATGGGATCTCTACCACCTGAGGTCTGAATGGGCGCATGGAGAGAATGGTATTGGAGCCTAAAGACAGAGAAGGATGGTGAGGATGGCCCTACAGAATCACAGGCCTTCTGTCCAGGGCCACACGCGGCCTGTGATAAATCCACGGAGAGGGAGTGGGGAGATCAATACCCCTCGCTCACTCTCATCTGCCAATCTCTGCTCCTGCTCCCCATTGACTGAGCGAGCTCAGCCAGAAACCTGCTGCAGACATAGGCAAACACCTCTCTAGGTCCAGGAAGAAGAGTGCACCCTGCTGGACACACAAATGCAATCCAGCCGGTTCAGACTCATAATGACCCTGTATAGGGTTTCCGAGAATCAACTAGTGAGTTTGGACAGCCTTTTAGTGGATAGTCCAGTGCTTTTCCTACAACAACACACCACATAATAGTTAGCCAAGGGATCTTTTCATTTTTGTTTCTCTGCTTGAACCATAGTTTACAAGCATTTTTTGATAGATTCATCTTTCACAACTGGCATTTGATAGCTCTGCCAACTCAACAACAAATTCTGCTTGAACCATGCCTCCTGTGTGACCGTGGAGGGCATGGCATAGAAACGCAGCTGAATTTGGCTGCTAATGATCAATAGTATTAATATTTTTACAAAAGTAATATATCCAGAAAGGAATTATAATTCATCTTTTAAAATCATGAGACAAAGTTCTTTCTTAATCTCCCACAAAATAATGTAATCAAATGAGTTTGTCTCAGTGAGCTTGTTGAATGTCAATTAATTTTAATAAAAAGTATTTTATATCGTTTAACCCTTACAAAGCCCCGGTGAGTGATGGTGTTCATGTTGGACATTAACCCGTTTTTAAAGCTGGGGAGCCTGAGACTCAGTGAAGGCAAGTGTCTTTGGTGCCATGGGTAACCACAGCTGGGATTTGAACCCAGAACTTTCTTACACAGAAGCCCATCCTCTTCCCTCTGTAATGCATGGTGCTCTTGCTTGTCTTTACTTATTCAAGAAGATGAGATCTTAAAGAAATGGACCCGGCCATTCCAAAGTGATGACTCTGTCCATGATTGAACATGAACATCATAGCTAATTGTAGAAACTGACTCCCTGAGTTTAAAACAGGTGTAGAAGAAATTAAGTAAGCACCTCTTAGCAGAGAAGACGCAGAACTTTGGCTCCCATTCCCCATGAAGTGAGGAGACCCTGAAAAAGTTACTGTCTATGTGAAGTAAATCAAGAAATGTCCAAGTCATTAAATAATCAACTACACTGCCCTGAGAGCAGCTTTCAGTAAAATTATGTGGTATTGTAAATTCTTAGATACACACTCTTCCATCTCTCTGTTGGGAGTTTCCCAGTCATACTTCATACCTCCAGGTTGCTCTCTAGCTTTAAGGGAGAAGGGGACTTATCATCCACTGTGATACCCTGCCAAGTCTGTTACCTTCCTAAGGGGAGGTGGAAATTAAATCCAACTCATAGGAGCCCTATTTATGCCAGACAGGACTATGCTCCATAGGGTTTTCAAGCATGGCTTTTCAGAAGCAAATCACCAGGCCTTTCTCCCAAGTGCCTCTGGGTGGATTCAAGTGCTTAAGTATTTGCACCATCCAGAGATTATTATCTTTCCCTAAATAGTCTAAATTCAGGATTCTTCTGAGTTTGCTATGAAATTATAGAAGCCATTTGACTTTACCCTTCAAATGAGAATAATAAAACGTCCTTTAACTCTAAGGAGCTGCCCTGAAATGCCAAAGCAGTATAACACTTTTAAAATTTCCCAAAGGCAGATATTGAAAGCAATTGCTTACAGGGTTGTTATTAACCCCATGACCTGTGTGGCTAACCCCTGTCTGTACTTGGCTTTCCCCACAAGCCTGTTACTCTATTAATCGTTCTTAATGGACTTGTCATTTATGAATTGCCAATGATGGATGTTCGTAATGTCATAAATTACTGGAGGAACAGACATGCCTAAGTACTGCACCGGGCATAGCACACAGGCCATCTCCTAGCTGCCTACAAGTCACCCACACCTGCCTTGCAGATCCCCTATGACCAGAGAACCCTGAATAGAGTCTGGAAGCAGGGCCGAGGGAACTGGCTCAGCTACCAGACAGTTGGTTTCCTGAGAGAATCTGAGTGTGAATTTGAGGGAACTGGAGATATTAATAAGAAACTTTTTTCTGGGCATAAAGAGTGAGAGCAGTTCTACACACATTAGGCATCCTGAAAGTGGCCTAAGTTTGAAAAACAGGAAATAAGTTTACCATTAGAGCATGACTAGTACTTAGTTTTAGCAGTAAATACATTTTAACCTAACAGACTTGATATTTTTAGTTATGAAGGAGCGAACTTCCTAGGGAAAACAATATAACACTTGAAAGGCTTTGTTCAATCAATCAAGTGTTTATTGAGCACAAAAAATTCAAATTATAGTCTTCAGACTGAAATGAATTCATGCCATTTTGGAAAAATATCTGTTTGTGACATTTCTTTCACAAACCCTAGGAATGTGTCAAGTGTTACATGGAAAAAGTTCCTTCTGCTCATGCATGTGGGTTTCAGGCATATGTTTACCTATTTCAGAATTGTTTTTCATAGCCAAACAAAGAGAAAAAATGCGGATATGTTGTTGTGCATGCCTGAACGATAAGCTTTCTCTGAGGTTGGATAAAATGAGAACGAGTCACCAATAACAAGTCACTTGAGATAGCAAATAGAGCCATGTCATATTATGAGAGTGCAATGTACCAGCTTCCACATTTCCAGATGTCTGTTCTTTTCATAAGACAAAGTCTGAGGAGTCCCTGGGTGGGACAAATGATTAAGCATTTGATTATTAGCCAAAAGGTTGGAAGTTCAAACTCACCCCGAGGCTCCTGAGATGTTTACAGCCTTCCAAAAGCTTGCAGCCTTGAAGACCCTATGGAATAGTTCTGCTCTACACGCAGAGGGTTGCCAAGAGTTATAATCAACTCAGTGACGGCTAACAACAGTATGATCTTCACAACCACCTGTTAAGACAAAGTCCGTACACACAAATGTTGTTGTTGTTAAGTGCTGTTGAGTTGGTTCCGACTCATAGCGACCCTGTATTGGGTTTCCGAGGAGCAGCTGGTAAGTTTGAACCACTGACCTTGAAGCTCAGACTGACCTGGTGGTCCAGTGCTTTTCCTACAGCACCACACCAGACTCCATACATACAAATTTGTTGTTAACTGCCATAGAGTTGGTTCCAACTCAGCGACCCTGTATAGGGTTTCCAAGGAGTGGCTGGTAAGTTTGAACCACTGACCTTGCAGTTCAAACAGACCTTGAGCTCAAGCGCATATCCTATGGTGCCACACCAGGACTCCATACATACAAATGTTGTTGTTAAGTGCCATTGAACCGATTCCAACCCATAATGACCCCATATAGGATTTCCAAGTAGCAAACAGGTAAGCTTGAACCATCAACCTTGTGGTTCAAACCAACTTTGCATTAACCCACAGCGCCACACCAGAACACCATACATACAAATTGTTGTTGTTGTTGTTAAGTGCCGTCGAGTCGGTTCCGACCCATAGCGACCCTGTATAGTCCAGGTTAAAAACAAGCCACTAAAGCAGCAAAACTAATTCTTTATTTTCAATCGTGACACATATTTCACCCAGAAGAAAGAAACTAATTCATTTGTTTTTATCAATTTCTTTATTTAGATAGTATTTGTCTGTTGACATTCCAGAAAATATTAATGTTCATCTTAGCCAAGGTAAGTGTAGACAAGGAAGAAAAAAAAAATAACAGAAGTCTATGCGAGTCATTGTTTTCCAATGAGCGTTTTGTTAAATTCCTTATCTAACACCATATATACAGACAGCATATGTTTGCTGCTTTCTCTGTTCAAGTAGAATTAGGTCAAGGAAGAGCAGGAGAGAACTTTCAAGTTGACGTTTTATACATTATTCATCCTTGAAACTGCTCATTTACTAGCTCTAAGAGAGACACAGGTGACAAAATTTGCATTGTGTCTCACCTTGAAAAGATGTATGTTCTGTCATAAATACATTCAAAGATGCTCAATTTCCTGAATATCTTTTCCCATCCCCAAAAAATAAATAATAGTAGATTATAGTCAAAA